TCACGTATAGTCATCAATATGCTAAAACGCTGATGTTTTCAGAGTTTTTAAAGCCCATGCTGTTGAAAAAACTTTAACTTCAGGAGTCGAATTTCGATGAAAATGCCCGTTTTCGGCTTTTCAACTTCTGTTCGGGGAAAAATAGGATATGCTCTAAGCAGGTCCGTTGACAGTTGAGCAACCAACACCCAAGGTGTACTAACATCGCAAAATTTTCGACTTTGACGCTCACCTGTTTCCTCGTCACTTCCGATTGCCATTTGGGCGATACCACTTCGCAGCTGCGGTCCTCCATGGATCATAGGTATCGATCGACGATGTTCTGAATGGTACTGTGGATTGGCAGCCGAGGAGACAGCCAGGGTCTGAAAAATAGCATAGGAATTATATTCTTCAAAGACATGAAGACCTCATTAGGTCACACCGTAACCAGTGACGATTGTTGTGCACCACCCGTGCTTGTTTGAAATTTCACTTATCTGCTGCCTTCCGTGCCGCGTGGGAAGCTCTCCTAAAGACCATTTCCCAATAGCTCTAACTTCTCGGTACGAGTATTGATATTAGTATTTCAACTCATTTTCCGAGCGGAGGAATCTGTAGTTTTAGGTCCTCTTCGTCAAGCAGAAAAACAGTTTCGGCTACGAATAGGTGGGAGGAACTGTTCAATCCACCTGTTCTTTCTCAAGGCCTTTTCTAATTGTCTCTGGAGCTGCTGAAGGTCTCCTGAGCTTTTCATACTCGATCTTTTTCATCAGGAGGAAACTAGTTCTTTTTGGTCTTAAACCATGTGGGTCACTCTCTGTGAACAACAGGAGGTCAGCAGCAAAAAAAACTCATTGACAAGGGCTCTTACCAAGCTATGTCGCCCCCTCTTGAGGCTATATGCAATTCAGAAGTGCACTTATGTATGTGCACGACAGCAGAGTGCATTCGCTCGAGATTCCAAGGGAAAGCGATTATTTCAATGGGGGATTCGTACAAGGTGGCACGACTTTTCGACGACTTGATGAAAATGAACAATGTAGCAATAACTCTCCTTTCTCGCGAAAGAGCTCTGAGGCTTTGAAACATCCACATCATCGCAAGAATGCTGAGCTACGGGCAAATAAAGGCGCCAGTCCGGAATTGAACCCCTCTCCCCTTGAGAACGTATGAGTGCGCTGTCCATCACGCCACCGGGCCCGCTTTTACCCTCTCAGCTCAATGGCTTTTGTGCCATAGCCTTACAGCACTCACACGTTCAACGTGATGAGCCGGTTAGCCGATATCGGCAGTGAACCGCAAGGCTGAAGGCTTTTCATACGTTTTGAAGTGGTTTTCAATATGATAGCTGCTTTCAATGGTACTGTTCAGGCTGTGAAAGTCATCCAGGAATGCTGAGTGACAGCCATTAGTTTTGATTCACATTAGTTTTTTCCAAATACCAAGGTCGCGGATAATCAACCATAACTCTGTCTCCGTCTGGTACAGATCATCGAACCCTATCCAACGCGAATTCTAGCGTAGTCGTTGTCTAGCATATAAAGACATAGTCCACGCCATCGTATGGGTGGAGTACGTCTCTAGTTTCTAGCAAGAGATTAGCAAGTGAGGCCGATGGCAGGTCTTACTTCGACTAGCTCGGAATGAACTCTTTGAAAGTGATTATCTCAGGAAAGGGTTGAACTGCTGAACATATTCGCCGTTATACCCTGGTCATCCATGGTTTATGGCAAAATCGCTGAGAAAAAAAACTGGATACAACCAGGGTACAGCATCGTGATATGTGAAATGGTGGTATCAGTACAATCCTCCCATCCCCCTCCACCTACCTCCCCCGCCCCACTATCGAGAAATTGTTTCCCAACGTGGCAAATTCCTCTCAAAGCTACATACGACCCCCCCCCTCCCAGCAACCACTAAATACGACCCTCCGCCCAGCGGAAAAGTACGACCTCCTATGTGTTCCACACAACGATCTGTACCCTGGATACATCTGCCTGAACTCCTCCATTGGAGGGCCATCCTCGTCTATGCACATATCAAAGGGGATGCGCGCATCAGTCTCACCCACCGTCTCAGCCTGTCCCACCCATTGGCACAGCCCAACGCTTGCTCCATTAACGAGAATCGTAATTTGAAAAACGAATACATGACTTACGAAAAAAGGTCATCGTTCCACTTTGTAGCTAATCTGAGAGATGTGATGCATCTTACAGCATTTTTTGTTTCGTAGTTTTTTACACCACAATTTTGTCATTTTTTCAGATTTGCTCTTTTTCATATTGTTGCCCATCACTATTAACATTGACATATTTAGCCAGAGTGGGCAAAATTTCCTCAACAAACAGTTCCAGTAGAAGTGGCTAGCACCGTAAAGACTTACGCTCATCTGTGTTGATGTTTCAGGGCTGCCGCCTTTGAGAAAGCTCTTCACTTTTCGCTCCAGTTGACTATTGTATTTCATAAATATTCCATATATAATATAAACAAGAAACATGGTGAGCGCTTCGTTCCATGAAATTTTCTCGTCAAAGAAGAAAATCACCAGAAAAAACAACGCAATTATATAGAAGGCCATGTCTCTGAAAGGAATCGCAATGTACATTGTGAAAGATGGTACAGTCTTCTGACGATGAGTTGAGACCCTCTGCCAGTGTAACCTCACCTGAACAATGGCCACCAAGTGAGATGAAGTACTTCTCGAGAAAACAGTGTACAAAATGCCAGAACACATAGGATATTAAAGGTCGCACTGCCTGTAATAGATTATCAATGTTTTGAACACCAAACCTAAAACTGATTGATGACATAATTTTGTTGGCGAATCTCGCGATCACTCGCCGTCACAGATTGTGGATTAGGGGTTTGCATATAGACGACAAGGTACGGAGTAACTCGATAGTGAAGAAAAAAGCAGAAAAAAATATGCCAACTGCCTTAAATAGAACCCCATTCAGATCACAGTTGCGTGTTACTTGCCCACTTAAAATCCATTTCAACCAGCTATGCCCTCATCCGCACAGCTGGTTGTTCGGTAAGAAGTATACGACCGTCAAGGTACATTTGTTCATGCTCCTGCCAGCTTCGATTGTTTTTAAAGGCGGACCTCGGAGGCGGAGTCTGGAGGTGGAGTCGCTGGAAAGAAGGAGGCCTCTGTATATTGCGCTGCAACCCCCCTCCTTTACAATTTTTTGTCGCGAAACCGGTGCAAGGTTGTTCGTCGCGGATCACACTACCCTCCCTCCATAGTTTCATGTTCTTATACCTCACTCGCGGGCGTTACCTTTATACAGCGTCGGTGGCAGAGCGTTCCAGCATATGTACGATCTTTGGCGCTGCGCCGGCCGCTACCCCTGTTGGCAAACCAGTGCCAGCTTTGTGAGCACCCAATGAAAATAGGCCGCGATACCGCGCCAAAAACGCACATGTTACTCGCCTCCTTACATGTCCTATGAGCGCTGCTTCCACAGGCCTTTTCACGGATGCGTTCTTTTCTTACTTACTTACGGTGCAACGAACCACTCATTTGTTCATAGTAGTAAGAGGAGAAGAACTCGTGAACCTTCGCGTAACGTTCGGGACACGACGTCGTAACGCTAAAAGGGGGAGGCGCTTATCGGCGTAGGCTGACAAACTTAAATGCTTCGAACCATTCAGGCCTCTGAAAGACGAGAAGGTCGAAACGTTAGGCCAATAAAAGGTTCATCTAACAACCTCGTTTGGCAGAAACAACTTAATATTCGACACCATGCCGAGGTTACAAGAAGGGACAACTTGGAGATTATTAGAACCACTCATTGTTTTCCGATCCAATTCTTTACGACTTGCAGTAACGAAACATTTAGTGGGAGGGATGCTTGATCCTTTTTAGCACCATGCACCTGAACGGCCTTTATGGAAAAGTTGAGGCTATCCATGGCACGTAAGATTTGTAGAACACCCGAACACCACTTCGGTTGGGGATGGAAATGTAGGTTTGATTAATGATCTCATGTATCGTGCAGGTGTCAGTAAGACCCTTATACCCTTTTTTGGCTTATGGTCAGCATACTTTTCTTTTCTTGCTCTGTCTGATTAGAACTCTAGAGCAGACATTTCTTATAAAAACTGGCGCGTGCTGGAAATGGTAAAAACTCCACTCTAAAAGATGCTCATTAACTGTGATTTCTCACGCTCTTGCTTCGACGCATTCTCAACGCAAAAAAAGTATAAAGTGCAGTGAGAAGGTTCCCTGGAAGAATCCGCGCATCGAAGCGTATTTCAACTGAACGCGATATCTAATGGAAGCTTGGCTTGGCTTTTTAGTCCTTGACTTGATAAGGCTGGCTGATGCCGTTTGGACGCGCTCACTTTTAGCTGCCGGCTCATTTTTAAAGTTCCTAAAGTTCCTAGATCCCCAAATCCGCTGAAAACTTGCATACAGGAGTAATTTAACATCCTGATTACGAATATGACATTCATTCTTGGCGCTGGCGCTAATGGAGGACACCACGATTTTCTTTTGGGCTCAGCCTTAACAGAGCGCAGAAAGTCAATCAGGATGTTAAGTTATCCCTGTATACAAGTTTTCAGCGGATTTGGTAATCTAGGCACTTCAAAAATGAGCCAGCAGCCAAAAGTGAGCGCGTCCAAACGATATCAGTCGATAGGGATGGGTTCCCATAGCCGTCCAAAAGGTCAGAAAGCTTTTGGAGCACAAGCACATATGTGTTCCCATGATGGGTTGAGAGTATAGTAGGAAGTGAAAGTAAAGAAACTTACGCATATGGTAGCTAGTATAAAGAAAGAGGGTAGGGTCAGATGAGAATATTTCGGAGAGGTGATCGTAGTGACCCCACCAGTTCACTCAACCCGAAGCTGTGACCTGGTTCGGAATGACCATTTTTCAAAATGGCAAACAGGGAGGAAGCGGCTAAATGTACTACTGCTTCGAAAACTGGTTGAAATCGCGTTTCTTCAAGAAAGTGTACAGCACATTTTCGACCATTCTAACCACTCTGCTTTAGTTAGAAGTACATTTAATAAGTGGGTGAAAGAGATGTAAAGAACGCACCAACGATAGTTCCTATGCCGACATTATTTTGGGCCACGAATACGCCGAATACGGAGGTGAAAAATTCAGGTGCTGAGCCACCGGCTGCCATGAACGTTGCACCAGCGACATCCTCCGAAATGTCAAACTAAATATGAATTTTTTATTTTCATAGTTTTATTTTTTTATTTTCATATTTTTGTTTTCATATTTTTTTCAAAGCTTCTGTTCGAAAAGAATTGTGAAATAGTATGCCGTTCATCGACTCGCTGTTGTCAAAGGCCCAATTCACGTCGGTTGTGTGAGCGGGTTACATGAATACTTGAACTTTTGTGCATGGTTTTGTTGCGAAAGCTTAGAAGACGGCGGCATCAAACATCGGAAAGTGCAAGAAGAGTGGCAAACCGCGGGTGGGCTTATTCAAGAGGAAGGGACTCCGGGGTAGGGTGAGCCCCTTATCACGCCCGAAAAGGTGGAATATGTGAGACGCTGTGATCGCAGAACGCTGTGCAGACCAGAGAACGTGCAGAAAAACACAAGGTTGAAGGATTAGTTTTTTTTGTTCTTGTTCCAGGTCTTGACAGAGTCGAGTGGCGGTAGACCTTATGGGCGGAACTACGCCTATCCTTACGGCTTCTTCATTGGTGCGCTCGCTGCGCCAGTAGCGAAGGTCTTCCAGTGGGTTGGCAGTTGTTGTGTAAGCTCGCGCTAAGATGTTCGATTGCAAGTGTAATCGCGCATTTTTAATAAACCTTAGAATCAACTCGGCGTAAACACAGCCCTCTACAGAGTTGAGGTGAGCGAGTCCAGCCCAAGGCCCAAATCACCTCGTTTCCGCCAGCTGTCTCAGGCTGGCGCTGAGCCAAAGCGAATGCACCAGGGCACCTCAAGGGTCGTTAGGGATCCCCAGCGAAGAGGGCCGTATTTCGTGGCTGGAGGGGGAGGGTCGCATTTGCATTTGGAAAAATGTTCTCGGTTTTTGACTTTTCTCGGTTTTCTTGTTTCAAGTGCGGTATGCACCCCCTCCCCTCCTCGACTGCGGCTTCTGGCAGAAAGCCCCGGACTTAGTGGTGAGAAGTTGGCACATAGGATGGGAAATAGAGAACGGGGCATACCAGAGGTGGATCCTCAGAGGGGGCATATTTTGCAAAGATTTTCGGCAGGACGTGCTCTGGTTTGTAGGTGGAGACGCCCTCACACGACGCTCCGCTAGCACTGTACGCAACTGTAAGAGCAAATATTTAAAATATTATTATTAAACGTTTTGACCAGCTCACCACTTCGATGAGAACCGAAAGACTGGGCACGAAGAATTCATCGCACACGACGGCCAATGCGACGAACATATAGACAAGGCCACCCAAGTGAAGTATTATGGCTCCATGTCGCCGTTGCTCAAGAGTGAAAAGATCCGCAGGAAACTGATCCGACGATTCGTTGGCGGCGGCTGAAAAATCCAGGAATAATTCAAATCTGTCTTTCAGTTTTGAAAACTGACATGACCTCATTCCTTACCGACTTTTTTTCTTGCGCATTCCTCTCTACGTGACGTCGCTCGTGGTACCCGGCGAGGATGTGGCGCATCACTTGGTTCTAAATAGACGATGTTATATTCGTGAATTCGCGAACAAACGACTACCCAACTTCTCACTTTGTTTC